TTCCATTCCATAGATCAATATCGGACGGATAAGAGTTGTGTAAATGGTCAGTTTCTTGTTACGGGTTAGATGAGGTTAGTAAACTCAGTAAGTGTTTGTGACGGCAGTTTATGTCATGTCATTTAATCGTGATAAAAGATAAAGTGATTTTCTTCATGCGAAAGTGACTCCAACACTTTCCCTTTAATTCACTTTGATTCTCCATCTGCGGTACCAGTCAGGGTGACTGCAGATAGGACATACAACGGATGGGGTGGAATGACAAGAGAGGATATCGGTGTCGTCGACAAATATGGAGATGGCGTTGTTTGGGAAGTAGAAATGTCAACAGTGTATATTGTAAAGATATTGAAATGTTAATAAATATATAAACCAAAGTTAAAACAAATTTTTATTTAGAAATCGTGAGATGCGGTCTGGTGTTATGTAGGTTTCAGAAAAACATTTTCTTTATCGTGTCAACGTTTCGATCTTTATTGAGATCATCTTCAGGGCTCGAAGTGTTCGTCTTCTGTGTAATTGTGCCATTATTGCGTGTCGTGTCGAGCCACTTTGATCCCTGAAGATGATCTCAATAAAGATCGAAACGTTGACACGATAAAGAAAATGTTTTTCTGAAACCTACATCATAAGATTTTGCAAATTTAATCATCTTTTTCTTTAAATCCACGGTTCGTAGCAATTCTTATCCAAAGGATGAAAAATTCTCCGTAGTGAAAATATTTTATTCAATTTTGTCTATTACATTGCGTTCGGGCCCATCATCAGAACTAAACATGGGAAACCTCATGTATGTCAAGAAATACATATAAGTAATAATATAGTACAAATACTTTGACCGAATCTAAAATTTTCTAGCATTGTATAAATTCATTTTTATCACATCCTACATGTATTTGAAAAATTTAAACAATGTTTATAAATCCCAGGCCCGGAAGATGATCTCAATAAAGATCGAAACGTTGGCACGGTAAAGAAAATGTTTTTATGAAACCTAGATCACACCAGACCGCATATCACGATTTCAAAATAAATATCGATTAACGGTCACTAATCACCACCCATTAAAACAAATTTTATCTGACCGTCTTTTTTTTTTTCATTTTTCATTGTCCTTAGCAATTTACATTTTTTTAACTTTTTTAGACAAATACTTAATTAAAAAACCTTAAACTTTCATTAATATATAACAATATATACAAATCAAGTATTACTACGAGTCGCTGGAATTATTTGTCTGTCAGTGTAGTTGCAAATGACAGGGAAAAGAGAAAATAATCATACACAGTGGAACTCTTCTAAGAAAGTCACATATTATAAATATTATTTGGAGATAGTGAGATGCGGTCTGATGTGACGTAAGTTTTAGAAAAACATTTCTTTTCCATGCCAACGTTTCGATCTTTATTGAGATCATCTTCAGGGCTCAAAGTGACATGACACGACACGCAATAACGGCACAATTACACATAATGCGAACACACAGCCCTGAAGATGATCTCAATAAAGATCGAAACGTTGGCACGGTAAAGGAAATGTTTTTCTGAAACCTACGTCACACCAGACCCCACCTCACGATTTCAAAATAAATATCGATTAACGGTCACTAATCACCACCCATTAAAACAAATTTTATCTGACCGTCTTTTTCTTCATTTTTCATTGTCCTTAGCAATTTACATTTTTTTAATTTTTTTAGACAAAAGACAATTAAAAAACCTTAAACTTTAATTAATATATAAAAATATATACAAATCAAGTTTTACTACGAGTCGCTGGAATTATTTGTCTGTCAGTGTAGTTGCAAATGACAGGGAAAAGAGAAAATAATCATACACTGTGGAACTCTTCTAAGAAAGTCACATATTATAAATATTATTTGGAGATAGTGAGATGCGGTCTGATGTGACGTAAGTTTTAGAAAAACATTTTCTTTATCGTGCCTACGTTTCGATCTTCATTGAGATCATCTTCAGAACCTTGTGTTGTCTGAATTTTGGCAAAAAAGTTCTCTGTTTGATAGCCGATGCAAATTTCTTCTCATTGTTGACGATGTCCTTCAGATTACTCTTTGCTTGGTGTCTTCGTGTAGTTGAAATCTGTTGATAGTTCTTCGTTCTTGTTCTCCTTTTTGTTGAAATGCAGGCAGAAGATGATCCCTGAAGATGATCTGAATAAAGATCGAAACGTTGGCACGATAAAGAAAATGTTTCGATCTTTATTGAGATCATCTTCAGGGCCGGGATTTATAAACATTGTTTAAATTTTACAAATACATTGAGGTTTTTAGTTGAGATAAAAAAGTCAATGTCAAGAACGGGATTCGAAACCACGATCTTCGGCTTGATGCGCCGCTGCTCTACCACTTGAGCTATCGTGACCTCGATCCTCTCGGACACCAACTTCCCATCTCAAACCCACCTTTTGAGTTTTCCCTCTTTTTTGCCATTTTTCAACGTTTTTCTAAAACCTACCTCACACCAGTCCAAATCTCACATTCTCCAAATAATCATTGGCTAACGTTCACTAATCACCACACATTATAAATACTGTCCAAATAAAAAGCGTATTAGAAAAGGATTTTTGTTGAATTGTACCGTTCGTCAACTGGGTTCAACCAGGGTGTTCTAAATCGTTTTAAACCAGAGCGGTGACGTGTTGCGCTTGCAGAAAGTGGAACGTTTTTACGGGTCAACCCTTGGGACTGTACCGGCCAGACGGGAGCTGTAAATTTTCGCAGTTTAACTCGGAACCCCGAGAAAACGGCAGTTTATAGCAGCCGAGTATTGACAGGGAGCCCTGGTAATTCACCCACTGGCCTGCCAGCCCTCGACCCTGTCACTGGTCGAAGTACTAAAAGGAGCCCTTTATTATCTTTAATCAATATTTCTCGATTCAATAAATGCCAGCTACACACACATCCGAGCGGATATTGTATAAAAACCGGGGGGGAAAAAATATAATCCGAGTGAAAAAAAATACAGTTATAGATTAGATTAAAGGCATTTCCTTTACAATTTTTTTTTATTTATAGATACTTATCATTATGATCACATATAAAACATTGTATTTTTAAGAGTTATCGTTTAAAATTTAAAAAAAAAAAAAACTACAGGATAAAATCAATTTTAAAAAGACTACACCGACAGGCAAAAATTTCCGCCCACTTGTAATATAACTCGATTTGTATATTTTTTTATATATTAATCAAATGTTCACGTTTTTTAACATTTAATAAATGAGACTTTGTCAAAAAAAAGTTCCAAAAAAAGAAAATTGCTAAGGAAAATGAAAAATAAAAAAGACGGACAATTTGTTTTAATTTTGTTTTAGATTTGTAATTAACATTTGAATATCGCGTATTTCCTCCTCTTGCCTTAATTACTCTCAAAAATGCGTCGGCATTCTTTCTACCAGTCTGGAAATGTTTCTTTGCTGGAGGTTAGCCTATTCTTCACGAAGAGTCCTTTCAAGATGGTGGAGTGTATCAAGAAGTGATGGACGTGCTCTTATTCGTCTTTTGAGGTTATCTCATAAATGTTAGATGGGATTCAAATTTAGAGAACGGGCTGGCCAACCTAAGACCCTGATGTTATGTTGTTGAAGGTAGGTTTGTACTGCGAGCAAGATGTGGACGGGCATTATCTTGCATTACGTTTTGTCACTGATTTCATCGAGGATAGGCAACGCATGATGTACCAAAATTTCATCCACATAGCGCGTGGTCGTGAAAGACCCTCCACGAACCAACTCTGTGCGCATCTCCTTTGAAATTCCCGTCCACACCATTATTACAACCGAACACACACTCATACGTTCTCAACGTTCGAGGAGCGTTGATGACGTTATATCATGACCTTCACCCATCGCCATTCACTCTAATAAATACATGCACTCAGACAGAACATATAGACACACAACACATAAGACATATTATACAATAAAAAACCCAATTCCCCTAAAAAGCGAAACAGGAGACCCAGAATCCCGTTGCTCAAGTACCATTTTAAGATTGGATGGCATGCCTACACAATTATTGAGCTACGTTGAAAAGTTTGGCTCTAGTAAAAATTACAAACTTCATACCTTTCATTTCGCTTACTCAACTGTTTCACGTCCATCTGAAGATCATAGAGCAAATCTGCACTCATTTGTAAAAGATACAGCAGATCAGTCTTCCAAAGACCAATGGTTGTGCTCACCGTGCCGTGCAGCTCTGTGTGTTCTGGTCAATTCTGGTCATCTCACGGTGTGAAACGCCATCGGTCCATAATGATTTAATCTTCTTAGAGCAGTCCTTTCAGAAATTTGGACACCTCGAACTTCTGGAGCTGATGAATCGCTTGAACAAAGCTAAGGTGGCGGTTTCGAACAAATCTTAAAATGAAAAAACGGTCATCCGGTCGTTCAGTTACCCGAGGGCGTACAGAACCGGGCCTTCTATGGTAGGACCCAGTTTCTCGAAAACGTCTGACCGCATCTCGCAGAGTTTCCTAGAGAACTCCGATGGCAATAGCCGCATACCTGATAGAACGTCCATCATCAATATGTGCCGCATCACGCGCAACATCCTCAGCACTAAGTGGCATTTTTAAGTTTAAAAACGGAAATTCAGAAAACAAAGGTGAAAACTAAACAGTTGATTACTTCAGAATACAAATGAGACTGAATAAACATTTTAAATCCGGTAAAAATTACTTAGAACTTAGAAAAAATCCTTTTTCCTTGTTTTGGATTAAGGATTAAGTGTGTTTACCTGTAACTGATATTCCCAGTTTAAAACATAGGATAAACACATATTTATTGATAAAAATAATGAGACAAATTAAGAGCAGAATTTTCTTTTATCGAGAAGATGAAAAAAAATCAGTTGGGTGGAACTTTTTGCTTGTCAGTGTATTAATATACTTAAAAAAAACTTGCGTAGTTAAATAAATTTAATTTTTTTTTGTACGTTGAAATCAGTCAGAATTGGAATGATAGTCCGTTGTTTGTTCCAGTACGTACTGCGAGAGGGTTTTTCGAGACTGCCGGCTCCAGACGTGCTACGTCCAGTCTCCAGCTTATCCAGGGATTTACCCGAGACACCTTCACTGCACATATAAGCTCAACACGAGGCAGCCTTTCATCAAACTGTACATCGAAAACGAAGAGTTCAACATCGACGGGCAGAGATGCGAGAACATAATGACGTGTCCGATGAGGCCTATTTCGTCAGGTAATTATAACTAAGAACAAGTGTTAGACGTATCGAGCACTTTTCTGCTCAAAAATACATTAGATCACGGTACGGTCTTAATAAAAGACTTAAGTTGCAACGTTTCGAACTATTTTAAGATCATCATCAGGGCAAAACAGTCTTAAATATGTCTACAAATTGACCTAATTATTCTATTCACAGACGATTTTTATTTTCGAAGTAGACCACCTCAGCTCTAACATATATATATATATANTTTGGCCAACCTCCATTAAGATGTTCTGATAGCATCTACCCACCAGAAGTTTGTCGGTGTTGAAATTACAGGCCTTGGTGTTCATATTAATTTGTACAGACTCCATCAAATTCAGTTTGGTTTGGCCTTTAACATGGCAAACTATTTTTCCATAATCGAAATTGAATCGGTGATCATTGTCCAATGCATGCCTAAGGGCTGTAGCTTCCCCATTTAGATTCCTCAAATCCTTTTTGTGTTGAGCCCATCGGTTTTTTAACTTTTGTTTGGTCTTACCCACGTAATCAACCCCACTCACATGGGACGCTGTATATTATATTGAACTGTTCCAACATTGGGATTTTGTCCTTTGTTTTTGGGAAAAACAAGTCTCCCAAGTAGCCAGTTGGCTGCAACCCTAATCTCCATTTGGGTGAGTTGTCCGGGTTGGTTTCTTTAAATGCTTTCTTTATTTTTTGTGTGAGACCAGGAGTGTATGGAAATGAGAAATTTTTTTTCCGGATCCAGTGGCTGCTGAGGCAACTGGTCGGCAGGGATGGCTAATTCAAGTGTGGGGGTCATAGCATCATTTCTTGCTCTTTTTATTAGGTGTGCACAATGTTCCTGGGGTATTCATTGGCTAATAGGATGTTTCTGACTAGATTGATGTTTTTTTTGGTGAAAATTTGGGCATGATTTTGGGCCCGCTGTATTAAGTTGTTGGCAGTGTTGATTTTTTGATAAGTGGGCAAAGAAGGAAAGTTTAAAATACATCCTGTTGATGTAGGTTTCTGATACCAATCCCATTTCAATTGGGGATCAATTAGCTGATTATCCAACGGCCACTAATACAATGACATGTCTATATTCTATTTACCCTTTCAAACACTACATTCATACACATAAATACATCCATACAGTACACTCATTCCGTTTGGTCGGTGGAGTACTTGATGTTCCTCCACCTACCTATACTCAAACTAACCTAGATTGGGGTCGATGGAGTACTTTTATAAATATTCCGCCATCGACCACGAACACACACTCATACGCTCTCAACATTCGAGGGGCGATGATGACGTTATATTTCACCCTCACCCCTCGCCATTCACGCTAATAAATACATGCACTCAGACACAACACATAACACATATTATATACAATAAAAAACCCCACCCCTAAAAAGCGGAAAAGAGGACCCCAGAAACCCGCTGCAATGCTCGAGTACCATTTTCTGACTGGATGACATTCCTACACGCTCCCTGTACGGAGCCAAGGCATGACATATTTCCAGTATGTGGGACATATCGAGCAATCTTTCTCGATATTTTCTATTAAAAGGGATAAACCTCCATATGTCATAATCCATCCTAAACCTTATAATATAAATATTAATCGATTATATTAATTAATGTAGTCTGCATAGGTGGTGATGAAGGCATTATGGAGCATTGGTAGGTCAGCAGTATAAATGATTTAAAAGATAGTAAAATAACAATATTTTTTTAGAAAATTGTTAACTAATAGTTATCTCATTTGTTAATTGCCTCCTTAGATACTTTAGATAAATTTTACGCAAACAAAATATTTAAAAAACGTAATTTTCATTCCACTCGCCTTCTTGGGTCTGTTCCTTGTCGTCTTAACATAAAGGCGACATTCATAAAAAGCTATGAAATCCCGCGCTTTTACACTCATTCCGTTTGGTCGGTGGAGTACTTGATGTTCCTCCACCGACCTATACTCAAACTAACCTAGATTGGGGTCGATAAAGTACTTTTATAAATATTCCGTCATCGACCCCGAACACACACTCATACGCTCTCAACTTCGAGGGCGATGATGACGTTATATTTCACCCTCACACCTCGCCATTCACGCTAATAAATACATGCACTCAGACACAACACATAACACATATTATATACAATAAAAAACCCCACCCCTAAAAAGCGGAAAAGAGGACCCCAGAAACCCGCTGCAATGCTCGAGTACCATTTTCTGACTGGATGACATTCCTACACGCTCCCTGTACGGAGCCAAGGCATGACATATTTCCAGTATGTGGGACACATCGAGCAATCTTTCTCGATATTTTGTCTTAAAAGGGATAAACCTCCACATGTCATAATCCATCCTAAACCCTGTAATATAAATATTAATTGATTATATTAATTAATGTAGTCTGCATAGTTGGTGATGAAGGCATTATGGAGCATTGGTAGGTCAGCAGTATAAATGATTTAAATGATAATAAAATAACAATATTTTTTTAGAAAATTGTTAACTAATACATATCTCATTTGTTAGTAGCCTACTTAGATACTTTAGATAAATTTTACGCAAACAAAATATTTAAAAAACGTAATTTTCATTCCACTCGCCTTCTTGGGTCTGTTCTTTGTCGTCTTAACATAAAGGCGACATTCATAAAAAGCTATGAAATCCCACGCTTTTACTGCTAGTTAGATCTCTTTATCTCAAAGTCGGTTCGTTAGAGATAGTCGAAAAGGTTTATAAGTCTATCTGAGCCCGTAGAGCGCCCTTTATAGGAGCATGGGCCCGACGTAGTGCCTCTCTCTCTGTCTTCCCTCTCTCTTTCTCTTTGATGTTTAGTTAAGCCTTTGCCCGGATGAAGAATGGCTGTTCTGAAAGAGAAGTCTTGCCGTGCGGGGATCTCTCAATCTGTTTGAGCGTTTCAACCTTTTAGCCTTCGCCCGGACGCAAATCACTTTGGCCCCGAATGAGCTGCCCCTAAAGTCCACTACTCACAAAACCCAAAAAAGGGAGGATATTAAAGATTTCCTTTTGAGTCGATCGTTTGTTCCACGGCTCAATGGAAAGCATTATTTCCTTAAGGGTCTCTCGCAATTTAGGACCAGTAATGGAAGTGAAAGGGTCATTTGTTCAAAGGAAATAATACCATCTGAGAAACCTATTTAAGTTTTATTTAAATATGATTTCGACAAGGCAAACTGAAGTACACTCATCAGTTAATTAATTTAGTGTAATTACACACTAATTATGAAATTCAATATTAAAGTGCTGATGATTCTAATTTTGTGTATTCAATTTATTCATGCGTTTTTATATAAAATTACTTTTTTTAACAGTATTTACTTTTCTACTATAAATAAAATTTCTAACATTTACAAATTGAAAAAATAGTAAGGCAAAATCTAAAACTATTTGGCACTAGGGCTTGAAAAATTACCAAGTGGGGACATTTCTAGTGTCTATGTGCTATGACTCGCTGCCCAACAGGTCGCGAAGCCACTGCCCTTTCAATCTCTTTGGAGGAGTATTGGGGATAATTCGGGATGTCAACTTTAAAACTAAAGAATCGGGGTGTACTGTAAGGTACTTGTGAACTTTTACTTATCGGGGATTTTATGACATCTCTGAAGGAATTTTAAGGATTGTGTGGTTTGATAAGCTGAAAGGAGCATTTACTATTTTTCGCAGGATTTTGGATGGGGCAGTCTGGACACGATGATAATTGGAATGTTTGATTAAACCCAGTTCAACACCGTATGTCCAAATGTTAATTATTGACTCGTATACCAGTATTTCGTTTTCAAACGTCAATTTTGATCGTTTGTCTAAGCCGTTTGCACCGTCTAGTCAGTTCTTGCTTTTTTAGCCTTGTATGACGATTTCGAGTTTTCTTTTGTCGATTTACAGCCCAAGGTAGCGAACTTGGTTGACTATAGGAAGGGATATGTGATGTAGGTGGCATTGTTTCACGTCAGAAGTTAAAGGTTATATGTTGGCTTTATTTAAATGAAAAATAGCGAAAGGATTTAATGGCCAGAGATGCCACAGTTGACGGGGAGTTTCATGAAATCAAGCTGCCCAAAGCGGACACTAAACGCCTGTTGAACCCAAAATGGATGGAAATATGGCTTTCATGGGATGGTAATAGATCGGTCAGCCAATACGAAAGCCGAATTGGAACGTAAAGGGACTAATGCGGTGGAACACCTAAGTGGCTGGTGTAGAGGAGTAAAACTACAGCTGGCACCGGACAAGACGTCGCTCATGCTCCTAAAAGGAACACTAAATATGCGCTCCCCGCCTGTTATCAGAGTGGATGGTCGGACAATAAAAAGCCCACCAGATATTACATACCTAGGCATCAAGATGTCCGCTGGTTTGAGATTCGGGCCTAACGCTGGATACATCAGGGACAAGATACCGGGTAGAGTGGCCGCAATTAGATCTCTGTGTGGCGCGACGTGGGGCATATCATATGGAACCAGGCAAACCTACTACAAAGCCCTATGTGAAACGGTATTGTTGTACGCTGCACCTGCTTGGATTGGAAGGCTGAGGGCGCCTGAGTGGGCCAAACTAGTTAGCGCTCAGAGGGCTGCTCTGCTGGCGGTCACACAAGCGTATAGAACTGTATCTACGGACGCCTTGCTGGTGATGGCTGGCAGACCACCCCTCGACGTTCTAGCACGAGCAACGTGTGCGGCGTGGGAATTACAGAATGGCTGCACCCCGCGTTTGCCCGTTAGCACAGTTAGTGAAACAAAGGCATGGATGATTGAAGAGTGGCAGCAAAGGTGGAATACCAGCATTAAAGGGAGGTACATCTACAGACTACTACCCAGCATTGAAAGGAGACTGGAGATGAAGCATATGAAAGTAGACCATTTCATCTCGCAGTTGTTGTCAGGCCACGGAGACTTCGCCCACAAACTGCATTCCTTTAACCTAAGGACAGACCCATTCTGCCAGTGTGGCAATCATGAAACTGCAGAACATGTCATACTAA